TAGTGCAACTTAAGGGTTGTTCACCATATTGTAAATTAATATCTATAGAGTTATTGAAATATATAATTTGAGATATAAAAATATCTTCTTTATACGCACGGGCAGTGAGGAGAAACTTTCTGAATTCCTTATGACCCTAAATATGGTACACGACTCTATTAAGTTCAGCCATGAAAAATCAACAAGATCAGTAACATTTTATCTACATCAATAAAAACAGAAAACTACAAATGACAGTACACACTGAAATCACGACACCCATAACTATCTACACTTTAAGTCTTCCCACTCTAAATACCTCAAGGAGTACCTTCTCTACTCACAAGCACTCAGAAGGATATGTTCCAACAATGAAGAACTAAATAAACACACTCAAAATCTCAAGCATTAATTCACAACATGTGGCTATAAACAACATCAGAGAACAAATAAATAAAGCAATTTCCATGCCTAGAGAAGACACCCTAATAAATAAAATTAAAAATAAATCCAGACACATCCCTCTAGTAATCACTTTCAACATCACTCTTCCTCCACTATATCAGATAATCAAAAGTCGCTGGGACAAACCAGACCTAAAAACTTTGAAGAACCCGGCCTTCTAGCATATCGTAGACCTAAGAACCTTAAGGAAATTATATATAGTAACCAAATTTCAGATGATAAGGTAACCCGTAATAGACCAAAAAGAAAAACAGGATTTTCCCAACTACGTAACAACAAAAGGAGCCTAGTTGTAACCACATTAGACATACCAATTAGTTCACTAGCACAGTCACTAAATCCACTCTCAAAATCTGTCACAACTCTAACTGTAGAAGTCATAACATAATTTACATATTAGAATGCGCCAGAAATAATATGTGGGAAAGTCTGAATGGCCCTTTCACTACAGAATTAATAATTATAGGAATCAGATCAAGTCAGCTCCCCACAAAAAATTATTACCTGTAGAACAACATTTCTGCCTAGAAAAACATGATTTTGAAAGCCATGCAAAATTCACTATAATTGAAAAAATAGAAACAGACAGAAAAGATAAACTTAGAAAAATACAAGAGGAACATGAAGACAAATGGATTTGCTCCTCAAAATACTTCTTCCAGATCGGCTTAACCACAAATTTAACAACATAGATAGAATATATAATCCCATAAATCAAATCCTACCCACATTTCTCATTCACACAAGACAGATATGCTTGCAGAGGTGTTGAGGTCTCACATTTATACACACACTCTCTCCAAGAACTAAAAGTTTAAATACACTTAACACACACACACATCCCATTCCCAGCAACCAATAAAACTGTCAGAATGACCAAGGCCGGTATTCTTAAAGTCAGGAATCTCCCATCCTCTCTCTTAAAAACAACATGAGACAAGGACTGACCAAAATTAACAATAACAAACAAATGAAAACTACAGATAAAGTTCACTTTCTTCAGAAACAGTCATTCATTGCTACCAATAAGCAGGGATTTTTTTTCCCTCCTGATATTGGTCATGGTGGCCAAAACTAGTCAAGGAACCTAACTGAAATAATAAAAACAAAAAATATTATTATACAACCCAGTGTATCTGAAAATTTTCATTTTTTTAATATTTTTTATTGTTCAAAATATACAATGTTGTGCATTGTTATCCATTACCATAATTTTTTCATTATGCTTTTAAATGCAAAATGGTTGACAATGTGCTGAGCATTCATTAGAATGTGAAAAAAAATTATCCTTTACAGAATTTTTTTCCTGTTATAATGTTTGGTCATGCATGCATTAAAGTGCGAAAAAACTGTTCCTTTACAGGTGTGTGTGTGTGTGTGTGTATATATATATATATATATATATATATATACACACACACAAACACTTTGCACAGTAAAGTTATGTTCATATCTTGATCATCTGAAAGATTAAAATCCATATTAGAAAAACCTGTAGTCAATTGATTGAATTTTTTTGTCCAATGAAAAAAATTAAAATACTGAGATTTCAAAACTAAATTATCAAAGAGAAAAAGCAGCATATTTACTGCTGTCAATATCAAAGACAATAGACAATAGAATAGACAAATAGAAACCAAAAAATCCCTAACCTTTCCTTTTTAAGCAATGGGAAGTAAAAACCGATAAAGTGATCTTTCAATTATTGATACCCTTTCACAACCATCTCCTAAGTAAGTGGGTAGCCTTATCAATTCCTCTGATGTGAAAAGATCGACTAATACAAAGAGTTAACAGAGAAAATGTAGGAAATAAAACTGATTGCTTATTTTAGATTGTGGAGATGTGTGGAATGTTATTGTGGCAACCAACAAAGAAAACAAAACCAACAGACGAAATTCAAGTTTTGACTAAGAATGATTCTATTCACTTTGAACAAATGTCTTTTTGCAAAGGTATGAATCTACATCTCCCCCCTCCTAAATTTGGTTAAATGGCAGTTGGTGTTCTTTCGTCCTGTAAAGCAGTCCATCTACAATGGATCAGATAAGTCTCAATACCAATTACTATTTTCTTACAATCAGTGTCTATAAATTTATCCAAACTGTTTCAAGTTTGATAGACATTTCTAATGGTATGAATACGAAATTTATTACAAATGTTCCAAGAATTGTAAATAAAAGAAATTATTTGGAGAAAAAGAGATGCAAAAATGTTTTGTGTGCATGATCAAATAAATATACTTGTTCATATTTAGTTGCATAACCTTTGCAAGTTGTCTTTTCTCTGATGATACTCACTTTTTGCAGAGATTGGTTGACACTTTTGACCATGATATATATATATATAGTGGTTGCCAACTCATGTCAAAGTACGGCAATTACTTCACATCTTTTTGGAGAATATCTACTGATGTGCCGAATGAATGTGGCTCCTTAGCCCAGCTAGAGGCCTACATACTCTGGCACAAACAGTGGGTGGTACATTATCATGCAATTTAAAATTTCATATAAAACCACTTCTGGACCCGCATATCTTACCACAAATATCACATTTTATTTGCTGGATGTCAATGGTTTCATAGTCAATTGCCACCTTTTGTCGGTGTGCTCTCAAGAGACTCCTTAGATCAGCCATCAACAAACACACACTACCACAATCCATACATGTCAGATTGAGTTGCCTGCAGGTGTTTTCTGGAAGTTCAATGTGGATACCTTTACACACATCTCTTTTAAGCTTTGCATGCCTCCTCTTCTCCTCCTCAAAGTGACATCTTTCACTCCAAGTAGCCTTATTTCAATTATTGTGAGCAGATGCACATTCTTCCCAGTGCATACAAGGAATGTTACATTGCTTCAGTGCATCCTTGATGCAGTCCTTAAAGCGCATCTTAGGTTTGACAGTATTTTTCTTCTCTGCTCACAGCTCACCATAAAACAATTGCTTTGGAATGTGGCTGACATCTATTCTAACAAGGTGACCTGCACACTAAAGTTGATATTTTAGTATCAAGGACTCAATACTATCACAGCCGCTCATCTCTATCACGTTTACATCACTAACAAACATTTGCCAGTTAATGCCAAGGATACAATGTAAGCAGTATTGATGGAATCTCTCAAGTCTTTTCATTTGTCTGCAGTAAACCACTCACATCTCACAAGCATAAAGAAGTGCTGTAAGCACACATGCATGATAGATGTTTAGCTTTGTACTCGCTGAAATTCTGTGCTGAAACCACAGATGTTTATTCAGTTTTCCAAATGCATTTATAGTTTTTGTATGTGGTTTGAAATTTCCACATCTAGATCACAGAATATGCTCAACGTACTCCCAAGATACATAAATGCGCAAACAGCCTTCAACCTTTTACCATAGACAAAGAGGCTTGGTTCACGATATGGCTTCCTTAGAGCTGGTTGGTACATGGCTACTTTCTTTTTTAAACTAATAGTCGATCCCAGTGCAGTGCATGCATTAGAAAAAGCATCCATGAGTGAGCCACAGTCATCAGCGTATAGCAAATCCCTGATCAGCGACAAGTAAACCTTCGACATTGCATCAAATCTCCTGATGTTAAACAGCCTTCCTGTTGAACGATAGCAAATGTAAATACCAAGGTTGCAGTTCTTAAAGGCCTGTTCAAAAACGATAGAGAACTACATGACAAATAGGGTTGAAGCCAGAATGTTGCCCTGCTTCAAGTCCATTTTCAACTGTCACCGGCTCAGAGAGCTTTCCACTAACATTAACCCATGCCTTCATATCATCATAAAACAAGCAAAGAATGGAAACAAACTTTTCAGGACATCCCAGCTTCCTAAAATATTTCACAAAGCCTCTCTGTTTATGGTGTCAAATGCCTTTGTCAACAAATATCTGGTAGAGATCCATATTCTGCTTGACACAATTTTCTTGCAGTTGTCTGGCTGTGAAGATCATACCTACAGTGCCACATCCAGCCCTAAAGCCTGACTGTAACTCCGGAAGAGCTTCATTAGCAATGTGGTACAACAAGCGATCCAGCAGAACTCCACAAAGAACCTTGCCAACAACAGTGATATGCCACAATAATTTCCACAGTCATCCCTGTCACCCTTGCCTTTGTACAAAACAATCATGACAGCATCTTCCAAGTCATCCGGAACACCGTTATTACTCCAGGCATCTAGCAACAACGAATGAAGCCAATACAAAAAAACTTTCTCCTCCATGCTTAAAAATCTCAGCATGCAGCCCCCATCCATTCCAGGTAACTTTCCACCATTAAGGTTTCTGACAGCACTTTCAACCTCCTCAAATGTTGGAGGCACCACAATAAATTCTTTAATAGGCTTTTCAAGTATAGACCTAATAAACTCTTTGTCAACTTCTGAATGCCTATTGAGAAGCTCATCAAAATGTTTGCGCCATCTCAGCAGAATATCATTGCGATCTCAAAAAAGTTTTTTGCCATCCTTAGTTCTTAGAGGAGCAACAGGTGAAGTAGAAGGCCTGTAGACTTCACAAAGTAAATTGTACATGGCCTTACTATCCTTCACATCTGATACAAAATGTATTTTATCAGTTTTGTCACTCCACCATTTGTTCTTCACCATGTGCGTATATCTGCTTTTATTGTCTTTAACTTGGCCTCATTTCCTTCTTCTGATCACCAGGTAAATCACTATGAAGTAATGCAGAATGAAGTTTATTTTTCTCTTTCAAGAGATTTTCTAAGTGCTTGTCATTCTGATCAAACCAATCCTGATGTTTCTTCTCAGTAAATCCAACAACATCAGCACATGCCTCATACACTGCATCCTTGAACGAAGTCCAGTTATTTTCACTTACTAAAGCATCCATCTTATTGACTAGATTCTGTCTAACCTCAGAAACTTGCAGATGGCTAACATTCAGCCTCTTTGGAAGTGATACCCCTCCCCGCCTTTCGTTTTTACAGACAATGCACTTGACTCTTGCTCTTATCAGATGATGGTCAGTCTAACATTCAGCTCCATGCATCATGCACACAGTATAAAAAAAATAATTTTAACAAGGAGGATTAATATAAAGTATTAGCACATAAGTGAATGTAATGGATCCGACTGGAAATGGAACTTGGCTCTCTGGTTCCTCAAACCGAGCCGCTATACATTATTCCACTGTGCCTAATAATAAAAAATAAAAAGTTTAAAATAGCTTAATTGATTATTTGAACAGAGTTTTTTAAATCCTTACGATATAATTCATTTTTACTTTGTTCAACATTTGTTCTTTTGAAACTTTATTTTTTCGACATTATGTCCATTCATCATTTAGTCAGTTTGACATTATGTCCATTCGTCATTTGACACTCTTACCTACTACCTAATATATATGTGCATGTGTGTGTGTGTAACTTGTATGTGAGACTGCAAAGTTAAAAGAAACTATTTTCTTTTTGACATAACCTAACATTTAAATTGTTGTACCCTGTTCAAACTACAATTCTTTAAATCAAACGCAAGTGCTCACTTTGACATCCACAGCTCATATGACAAAAACAAACTTTAATTTGATCCAGTTTCACACAACCACTTGCAGAATACTGGCCCAAGATACCAGAATCATAGGACACCTTTTCTGACCAATCAGAAAAAAGGCACAAGCGGCTTTTGCAGCAGTCATTTCTGAGCCCCTGACCGATTTCACCTACAAAGGCAACTCTGACCATGCTGGCATTAACAACTTGACATCACATCAGACAACCAAATACCACAGACTATTCAAACTGCCCAGGCCACCAGCAGCAACACCAATGCACTTCCAACAACAGTGATGCATTTGGTCAGTGACAAAACCAGCAGCTGCAGAGAATAACTTTCAAATACATATGTGAAAATAAAATCCCTTCTACTTATCTCCATTAGTTGTATTATCATTTCCATTTTTTTTGTTAGCAGTAAGACTGCTGTTACAAAGGAATTGTTGCTATTAATTTTGCCTCTTTTGTTGAACTAAAAAATAAGTTCCTGAAATGATAATGACACATTTTCAAATTACACAAGTTATACACTGGCAGTAAAAATCCAGATACTAAAAATCTCAGATATGAATCAAATTGATCTCATTCAATTTCTAAAGTGAAGTATTTTTATTATTAATTTTTGGTTAATATTTTCTTCATTTTATCTCTTGATTTTTATTCCAACTTTTTGGGTCAAATAATCAACCATTCATCATTTATCTGATATATATATATATATAAAGAAAAACCAACCAAAAATTAATAACAAATTTACTTATTTCTTCTTTATACTTTTGGTAGGTTGTTTCTTTTTTTCTTGCTTAATTTTCTCTTTTCTTTATTTTTAAGGATCCCAATCGATTTTGGATCACTGGAGTTATCAATGCACCATGTACTCCATTTTTACTAAATGGGTAAGTTTTTAAATTTACCATTTGTTTTTAAATTTTTAAATAAATTCCAATGTCTTTCATCAAGTAAAAAAATCAAATAAATAAATAGTGTAAATAATACCTCATCTCAGAAATACAGACAGATATTGAAGGAGCAAAGGCTTTTCAACTGATCAAGACAACACAATTTTCCATTTACTTTCAGTTAGCATTTTAATGGACGAAGTTAATACATAGCCAGCTTTGTTCGTATCTATTGGTAGGACCTGCTGATTGGCTTCAATTAGAAAATATTTTGACTGTTGGTGTTTCTTTTAACTCAGTTTAAACACCAACTTTTGATTTTTAAAGCAGACATAGCCGTTCTAATTAAAAGACTAAGGTAACTTAAATTTTCACTGAATGTCAAATGAGGAAATAGAACTTAATTTTTATTGTCTTAAAACTTAAAATTTAAAAAAAAAAAAAAAAAAAGGAACTAATTTTGCACTACAAAATAATTCCTTTATACTTTAAAGCAATAATATATATCCTTTTAAAATTTTCACATCTCCTTTGCCAACCAACACCTATTTCAGCAAGCTGCCCATTTTCTGATCTTCTTTAAGCAAATTTTTTGTCTGGTAAACTCAACTGTCCAAGTTTAACTCAATTCTCCAAGTTTTTGTTGGCCTCTTCTGTAGCCAGGTATTGAACTCACAACTCTTTGGGTCAAGTCACTGGATTCAACCAACACTTTTATCCACTTAGCCATATATTATAATTTTAGAATATTTATAATTTTCAGAAATCTTTCTTTAAAAAAAATCAAATTTACCAAAGGGAAAATATGAAGAAACTTATTTAAACATTTCCCTGGATAATTTATTTGTAATGGAAAATATAGGAATTCTACAGATTACTTTTTTTTACTCATTAAATGAGAATTGCCAATAACAAATCACCATTTTTAAGAGATTAGAATAAAGCAATTTTTAGGAATCATAGAGAAAAGAAAACAGCATGAATGGCTTGGGAGATAACACAACTAAAACCTGAATTATAGAAGCTGCTCACAAATTGTTCAAATTTCAATTTTTTTATCATTTTATAAAAACTGCCAATGACCTTTTGATTTTATTAATTTTTTCTTCCATATTCCAAAAATTATTAAGGAGGTCCAAATAAAGTATCTTAAAAACATATACTTTTTTTTCTCAATAGAATATTATTGATGATCATGCACCAAAAATATCTTAATTTTTTCTTTCTTACAATAGAAAGAAAAGTAGAATTTCTCATCAGAACAAACAAATTGTAATAATGACCTTCATACATCTTGAAGATTTGTTACTCAGATTTGACATTCAGAGAAACATTAAGATTGAATAATTTAATGAAATGTTGAAGAGTTACTTTTAATTTAGAATGAAAATTCACAAAGAAATAAGAAACTCCTACAATGAGAACTTACATTATAACTGGATAGACACATACAAAATTTATGATCACACACACAGACATTATATATATATAATATATATATATATATATAATATAATATATATATATATATATATATATATATATATATATATATATATAATTATTTATTTAAAATATGATTCCAAATCCTTTACATAAGAGGTCTCATGTTTCAAAACAAGAGCCAAAGCATGAGACCTCTTTGAAACATGAGACCTCTTATGTAGCGATTTGGAATCATATTTTAAATAAATAATTATATTTATGCTCTATTTTGTATCGAGCACTATTTTTTAAAATGATAACAAAAAATACTAAGAACTTTGGACTATTCACCTAACCAGTTCCTTCCTATTTTCTATATATTTTCACATATATATATATATATATAGATAGATAGATAGATAGATAGAGAGAGAGTCTGAGCAGTACACAGCTCTCATATACCATTGTGCAGGCCTGCATCCTGAGAAGGTCGCAAGAGAAACAGATACCTACTATATATATAATGGTGTATTTGGGTAACAATTTTTCACTTGTACATCTTTGGTTAAAGATTTTCAAAAAATTATATTTTTTCTATTTTGCATCATTTTCTTGATCTTTGGTAAAAGTTTAAATATAAATTGTCCAATGTCCAAGCAATTTCAGCTAACACAAACCATTATCAAACAGTTTTATTTTCTTTTGCACTATAAACAAACTCCTTGATAATACCTTATGCTCTCGATATACAAGTTGATGCAGAAATGTTCTAAGACAGGGTGAAAATAACTTTGCTCATTTGATCACTTCATTAGTTTTGGGGAAGGGATCCAAACAAACTTTTCAGCACCTTCTCATACAGTATTTATCTATGAATGTGGTTGAGGCAAAAAAGTGTATCTGAACTTTACTTACCTTATGTATTTATATTCTTTAAGAATTATGAAAAACTGATAAATTTAACTAAAATTATGAATGAAAACAAATATATGCTTGATGATGTTTACGCTTCATATTTTTTTAATACTATTTTCATTGTTTGGACTGTTTCCCTCATCTTTATTGGCATATTCACAATGTTTTTCGATGTTATATGTTCAAACACTAAGAAAATAGCCTTGGTCAGCCTACCCTATGTGAAGGGCTTATTGGAAAAGATGCAAAAGATCTATGGTCCATATAACATCAGGACAGCCTTCAGGAGTGGTTCAATACTATGCAGACATCTCTTCTGAGTAAAACAACCCATAGAGGAGAACATGATTAAGGACTGAGTATACATCTTCACAAGCAGCTGTGGCAAGAAATATAAAGAGACTACTTCCTTAAGATAATACTGCAAGAACACTGTAAAGCCATAACACAAGGAGAAATAAAAAAAAATCATGCATTACTGACCATATATGAAGGGAGAAGGGAGAATTCCTCTGTAGGATGACGTTGAAATAATAGACAAAGAACATCACTGGAAAATATTAAAATTTAAGGAATCAGTACATATGCTAGGCCATAAATTTTTTTTAAGCCAGCCAAGCATAGAAATGAATACAATATGGAAATCAATAATACAGAGAGCTAGAGAAAAACAACAATATCAGGAATTGTAATATGAGCTCTGGTAAAAAAAAATCATTATTGAGACATTAGGTTTGTAAGTCCCAAAAATTCAATCACTGATGTACCCAAGTGGATAAAAGCATTAGTTGAGTAATCCAAAAAGTGACTTGAACCAAAGTGTTGCAAGTTTAATTCCTGGCCACAGCATAGAGAACAAAAAAACTTGGAGAGTTGACTTACTAAAGGGAATTAACTGAAACTGAGATATCCCAAAAAGGCATGGTACGTGGAATTAGAACAATCTACCACTATGGACTAAATAAAGCATTCAGTTTGAAATTTCAATGTATATCACCTGAAGAAAGTTGGAGCATTTGTTTATGTTTGTTGTTTAGGTTGTGGAACCAGTCCATAGTTATTTTTGTTTTTGTACAGGAAATATAAATCTTAATTATTCATATGTACCCTCATCATTTATATTTTTCAGCTTTAAGTTTTATTTATGTTTCTTTTCATTTTTTTTTTTTTTACAGTGACATTGATTTTTCCAAATTTGATGTCTATGTTGATTTTCTGGTGTGCAGTAAAGTTGACAATATTTTTGGTAAGAATTTACTAACATAACTACTTTAAATATTTTATGGAATTTAATGCTATATATATATATATATATATATATATATATATATATATAGATAGACACATTTATTCATTCTTTTGATTTTTTATATCTTGATCTTTCTTCTATTAACTGTTATTTATATATATATATATATATATATACACACACACACTCCTGGTCAAAATCTTAAGACCAGATACAAAAGGGTCCAAAAAAATATAAAATACTGTTACTTTAATCAAAATATATTTTCAAAATATTTACATTTAATTAGAAAATGTAGTTTATGAACAAACAAGTGAAAATTTTTAAGCAATCTGATGTTTGATTATTAGGGAAATGTATTGACCAAGAACATTTTAGTACTTCCTTATATTATTGTCACATTCCATGTTATCTTATCATGACTTGGAAAACTAATTACAATTAAACAATCAATAACCCCAAAATAAATAAAAAAATAATCCTCTTTTTTTAAAGAAAAGCATAAAGTCATTTTTAGAACTTAATAAACCATTTAAAAACAATTTTATGGTGAAGAACCTAAAATCAAAGATTTACATAAACCTAACTTCTGAAACTCTAAGAAGAGTGCTAATCCATTTCTAAAAATCTAACCAAACATCAGATTATTTTTGGAAGGACTTCTTAGTCTGACTGAAAAAATTTCAGCACCTTCTCATTAGTAATATTAAAACTCCTTAAAAATAATTTAACAGTTCAATAAGGCAAAAGTAATCACCATTTTGAAAATAAAATCCTCTCTTAAAAACAGAAACATAACTCCAGAATTGTGAATAAATGGTCAATTGTCATAATCCAAAAGTGGCACAGACCTGTTGATCCTTCCCATCATTCCCTTCTGGTAACATACACATATCTACATTGTTTATATATATAATCCAATCGTTTGTGTATGGGTTAGGATTAGTGTTCTAGTCTAAACTGTCAAAATCAATGGCATTGTCCACCATATATAGATACACTTTGGTTTGTATTATGAAAATTGTTAAAATTTCTTTCTTTCTTTCTTTTGTTGCAGTGAATGCGACAACAGGTGAAGGTATGGCACTTACAGTTGAAGAACGCAAACTCACTGCTGAAGCATGGATAAAAGCAGCTCGAAATAAGTAATTCTCTGCATATACTAATCTCTTCATTATGTCCAGTAGCTTCCAATTTATTTTTTTTTCAGCTTTTCACTCCAAGAAAAGCAATAATTCCACTAAGACACAAGGTGGAAGAGAATGAGAAAACTTTAGTGAGAAGAAAAGACAATATAAAAAAAAAACAAGTTTCAGGAAGACAGAAGATAGCAATTGACATTGCATTTAAATTTTTGAAGATTATACAGTGGCAGGGAATCAAAAAACCAGAGAGTTCCAGGTGAGGTGAGGTGTGAGAAAAGAAAGTATTAGAATAGAACTTATATCTAGCAGCTATTTAAACAGTAAAATGATGAGACCTACAAGCCAATCTAGTAGTCCATTTAAATTCCTGCAGTTGTAGTAAAAAAGATGAGAGCTCATCAGAACATCTGCCAGAAAAGACAGAGGGAATACATGTAATGGCAGTGGGAAAGTAACTTCAGTTGAGATGCCAGATCAGGACCATTAACATTAAAATCCTTTTTTTTTAGATTTTGTTGAGATTCTTGTGATATATAACCAAAGTACCAAACTAAACAGTGATTGAATAAAACATCAAAGTCATAATTGTAACACATTATTTTAACACAGCCATACTTTTAGTACATCTGAACAATCAGAATAAATTATACATAACTTAGAATATTCATTTAATAAAAATAGTAAATGGGTTTAGAGCAAAAAATTTAAGAGTAAAAAGGACCAGACTGATGGTTTCTCAAAAAGCTTTTTATAAATTTCTTTCTTACAGCTATAAGAAGAAAACTGTCAGGTAGAAAAAAAAAACACCAAAGATAGAAACATGTTTTATTGAACAAGTGACGTATAATCTTAATTGATCAATTCATTATTTACATTATTTGAACTATTGTCCTCATCTTTGTCGCCATATTTATTACAATGTTTTGGCCGTTGTATGCTCCAGCCTTCTTCAGGTGGTTGGAATGTCGAAGTGAACCCTTTTATTTTGCATGCTGGGGTAGACTGTTCTAGTTCCACGTGCCATGTCTAATGGATATCAGTTATCTTCTGTTAATTCACCTCTTCAAGTTCTCCACTGCCTTAACCAGGCTTTGAACTCACACTCTTTGGGTCCTGTCACTGGATCTAACTAATGCCTTTATCCACTGTGCCATGTGTCCTCAAGGCACAGTGGATAAAGACATTAGTTAGATCTATCACTGGATTTGTCACTGGATCTAATTAACAGTTTTAACTAACAGTTTTTCTCACACTTCTTGCTTGTGGAATTTGCTTCCGGCTCTATGCTTTCCAGCCAATTTTAATTTGCAAAAATTTAAATGCAATGTCAATCACTATCTACTGTCCTCCTGATTACTTTTTTCTTTTTCTGCTCATTACTAATGTTTCTATTCCTAATCTTTCCACACCCTGTAACCCCTTGTGTTTTAGTGGTTTTACTGCCTTCCATGGGGTGATACTGATAAAAAAAAAAATACATTGTAATCCAGTGAAAATTAAAGAAGCTCATAAAGGCATTTGAATTATTTTATTTTGTTAAAGTTAAAAGAACTATTTTATGTAAATAAAGCTTAAAAAGTTAGAATTCATTCATTTTTAACTGCATTAAAAAATCTGTCATGTCATAAATCCTTGGAGGTGTCCCTTTAAAAAATGTATCCAGTCTTCTTACAATGAATGGTCTGTTCTTCCTACTTGATTTTAAACATCCTTCTGCCAAAACCAGTCTCTTGGTTAGAGTGATTCATTTTCTACGTCTTATCAACTCTTTGCAGATTATTTAAAGCCCAAAAAATTTTTTTAAGATTGTAAAATTTATTTTTTTTTGGAGATAATAGTTTATTGATACAATATGTGGATTCATACCTTTCCGAAGTGTATTTGTTTGTAAGTGACTATAACAAACCCAACCAGAATTGGAACTCTGCTCTATGATTAACAATTCCAAGCTATTATTCTTTACACAATTTGCACATCCAAGCTTACAGCACCTGTTATCCCCAAGCAGTTACCCATCTTGGTACTGACCAAACTCAACATTGCTTAACTTTAATGATCATACAGGAGGAAAGTCTATTGATTAGAGCCTTGAAGATGTTTAACATTCTCCTCACTAAAAGAGATGACTTTAACATCTTTCTACACAAGGGATAATATGTTAGAGTGATTCAAAATTTTTAACCTTGTTTTATGGAAATTGATTTTTATGGAAGTAACAAAATTTTAACAAAATAACAATATTTCCCAATAATGAATAAATATTTTATGCTTGTTTTTTGCTTTTATTTATAAGAAAACTTTTGTGATTTATTTTACTTTATGAAATTTATTCATGTATTTTTTATTATTTTGCTTTAATTTCTCTCCAAACAATTTTGCCAAAAGGTTTTTAGAAATAGGCTACAAGGATTTCATTTTCTATGTTAAAAAATGTCTTTTTAGAAGATGAAAAAATTCTCCAAGTTTTTCTGATCGATTACTTGATAATCGTACTTGTCAATTTGAAAAGCAACTTCTTAAAAAACTTCATTGATCAAAATAAAAAAATGAAAAAACATGCATGAAAATGCTTCTTACAGGTTATTTGAATGAGAAGAATTGATTTTTATGTTGAGAAATCTTACTACAATTCACCAAATGTCTTTTTATCCATTTGTCTGGCACCCAAAAACTGTTAAAGCTATGACCATCACATTTTCTGTTGTTATGAATATGACCCCAAGAGAATATTTACAGCAGATTAATTTTTGAATATTCCAAAATTTTCATATCTCTAGAGCAGAAAGTTTAATTTACAGTGTAAGTATAATACTAAACTGGATCATTAGCCAATTGTCATATTTTTCCATGACATTTTCTGGCTGCAGGAAAATCAAGAATTTAAAAAAAAAAGGTGTTTATATGTCCAGTACAAACAATAGCAGCAATAAATATTGAATTTTTAATGGTATAAAGATTACTGTTCAGTATTGTGATTGTATTTATTGCTGTAATAAAAATCAAGTAAAAACAATCTAGATTTCCAAAAGATATGGATACTTGAAATTCTTTTATGAAATCCTTCCAACATAGTTAAATGAAATGTGATCTAAGAATTCATGATGGTAATGAAATTTAAATAAGTTGAGATTCAATATATAAGTCAACTCAATATCTGAACAGAACTAAAGACTCCACTTTGGTATTCCCCAAGAACTAGCTTAAAATCTCATCCATATGTTGGGTTTTTCCCATAATATAAAGAATTTCAGGTCTCAACTTGCCTTTTAAAAGTCAAGCATTTGTAAGAATGGAATTGGTAAACTAGATTTTAAATTCTAAATTGAGGATACTTAAATGTTTATTCTTTTGAAAAGAATTCTGTATTCCTTCATTCATTAGCAGTCATCTTAACCTTAATTATGTTACTGGAATTCTTTCAGAGTTAATTGGAAAAATAAGGAAATATTTGGTATGCTGACAGTCCATTCTATCCACATTTATCTGCTTAAGCTATATCTTATTAGTCACTATCCTAGAAGCCAGGAGACACGATGGAGTAATGGATAGTGGCTTGGATTGAGGAATCTGAGGACAGAGTTTGAATTCCAGTCGAATCTATTACATTCATTTACATGAAAATACTCTTGGGAAAGGTATGAATCCTCCTCTTCTCCCCCCAGCTATGGATAAATAGCAGGACAGACTGGGTTCTATAGCCTTGGGTGGCAACTGGTCTAAGACAAGAACGACTCTGAATTCAAAACTGGATCCTCCAGGTTAGGGTTTATGTAGTAGGCTAACAAACTACTCACTTAAGAACTGGCTTGTTACAGAAACTGCGATGATATCTTGCAGCCTTACGTTCCTCAAGGAATTTAAAGGTATAATATATAATATATATCCTAGAAGCTTCCCTTTTGGCAGACTTTATGCTAGCTCTTGCAGCCTTTTACCTTCAGTGTCCTATGTACGTAAACGTTATAAGAATTTCGAAATAATAAAATTATTTTATCTTTATTTGACACCTTAATTCATCATAATCTTTCTTTGTATATGCAACCAATCTCCGTAATTTGTTTACATTTATTTTGCACATAATTTTTATTTTCTTTTAAAATCATCTTTCTTTATTATCCCTTCACATAAAGTCACTCTTAAAAGACATGAGGGAAGCCAAACTATTACGAATACACCACAGCATGTGTGCTAGAAAAAAATTAAAAATTGAGCAACATACTGAGCTCCATTTAAGTTTTAATTACAGTTTTAAAATTAGACATCATCAATTACAATTGTGATGAAAAGCAAAATTAAAGCCTTAATAAAGAATTATTTTTTAAATCTTTCACTCTTTTCAATATTTAAATTTAAATGATTTAAATATTTAATTGCGTGTAACTATAGTAGTTACTACCTGTTAGTTCAGGTTGTTTATGATTCATCAAGATTGCCGGATGGACGGACACATGTACACTGTGCTTTATTTATATATAGATGACATACAGAGGCCACAACATGCTGTCACTTTTTAATCTAATGTTTTATTCATCATCTGCAGAGAGCTTCCTAAGGGTCATAATTCAATTTTTCTAAAGATCAAATGTATTTTGGACCATCTGAGAGAAAACAACCTTGCATAAAATAGAAAACAGACACGATTTTGGCTGCGTTTTTTGTTTTTTATCTTAACAGGTTTTATTAAAGACCAAAAGCAAAATATTTATTAATGACATTTTCTTCTTTGAAGGATACTGAGGATACCATGGACCAAAAATGTCAGCAATGTCAAATTTTGAAAAAAAAAATGGAAACAAAAAGGAAAAAAAATTGGGAAGAGAAGTTGAAATTTCTAAGGAATATAATGAGGAAAGAGGGCTTGGAAAATTTAATACTCACAGGACAGATTGAAGGCAAGAGGGACATAGGAAAACAACATATAACCTTCCTAGCAAACTTGAGTAAATGGATGGTGGAGCAAGGTTTAGGAGAGATAACAAAAAGACAAAATTTATTAAGAT